AATACAATTCCTTGATAATACTTTTATAAAAACATTATTTACATAAGATTCAGGATGCAGCACTTGTTCTTGTAAGTGACCATTTTCACACTTTTACTTCAGAAAAAGATCTGAGTTACAGTCATGTGAATCTCATCAGTCACTTTCATTTTCATCATGTTTTACTCCTTAATGCAGCAAAGGGCCATTTCCTTTCAGACAGTTGTGCCCTGAATTCAACATTAGCTGAAACCTTCTCATTCATTCAGAAATACTGTGGTGGTTCTTACAAATGCAACAAAATACACCAAGAAAAACCACATATCTGTAGGCTAACTGCTCGCTGATGCCTTGAAAGCTTGTTCTTGACCTTGGAAATAGCTGCAACTAATCTTGACCCTCACTAAGCTTTTTCCAGAGCATATCTCACAGTCTGCAGTCCTAAGAACCAAAGAATGCAGTTCAAAAAAATTCAGAAAATCTATTAACTCAACCTTCAGTTTGGCTTATTTCGTCACATTTCTGCAAGTCATTCATCTCAGTACATCAGACAAAACACTCCCATATCTATATGTAACAACTCCGTGCTTCAGTTGCCGCTGTACAGCCCTTTCTTCGTTTTAGTTCAATCACTACATCAAGCTCTTTTATCTGCGTGTTTTCACTCCTGTCTGATCGTGGTATTCAGCTGCCAGCCAGGCTCCTGTAAGTGCTGCCTTGCAACACTATTAAATTACCCCCCTGGATAAGCAGCGCAGCCAAAGAGACTCCAATGTAAAACCAGCATCGCAACATGAAATTCACTGGGGGTACAAATTGTATTACAGTCTCCATTAGCCTTTGGCCTCATCTGTCACAGAAATAAGAGCTAAGTAAGAGCAAGCAGACCACTCACAGGTCAAATATCCGATAGCAGGTCTGTCGGCACGGAAGCGGGGAGGACCTCAGTCAATCAATGAGTTCAAACAGAGTGAAACAAGGATGTGCAACCAGACACAGTACACCACACACTTAGAAACAATATCTCCTGTGTGTCTGTGTCTGCGCCTTGAAGGTCTTCTTGTAATTAAAGTAGACTTTTGGGAAGTGGTGGGAGTGTATCTATCAATAGACAGACATGCTGATGTTTGGATCTCACACAAGTTAAGCACATGACACACACACACACACGACCTCCACACATCACATAAAACTGTCTCTCTCTTTATATGCACCATCTGTTGTTGTTGTTGTTGCCTCTGTAAGGTACATTTCAGCCAGGTCATTACACATTCAGCCCTGTTTTTTTATTTTTCTCGTCCTGTTTGTTTGAATTATGTTTTGCCAAAGGCCTCCCCGGTGCCCCGTGGCTTAGCTGTGATTGAACTCAGCTTTACACATACGCTACTATCGCATCTGCAAACACACTTTTTAATTCAACTTTCAGTCAAAACACTATTTTAGTTTTTTTTTTTTTTTTGCTTCGCCGCAGGGAATGAGATTCTTAACTCTGATATGAGCAAATCTTTCAAAGCAAGGGAAGATGTAAACAGTGATGTTCATTTCAGGGGTTCATGCCAATAGATTATTTTGTCCTTTGCAGTCAACCGACTTTTGTTGAAGGACAAACTGGTGCCTTTGTTATTTTGGGAGTTCCCTTTGCTGTCACTATGTGGACGTGTTGATATTTCTGGTTTGATTCTGCCACTTAAAAGGGCAAATCGGATTGACCAGATTGTGCAGCCAGATGAAAAGTCAAGGGATTAAGTGATGTGAATTAGGAAAAGAAAAAAAACTGATAATAACTTATCTTTTTTGAATATTTTTATTCAGGGACACATAATAACTCTGAAACAGAATTAGCTGAAGGGAGTTCCAGAAGTCTAATTTCTTCTTAGACCACCTGAATTACAATATTCTGAAAGGTTATTATGGACTTTTTGTTCAATGACATAAAAAAAAAAGCCTTTCTCAGCTGTTTTTGTGCAACATACAAACACACAAAAACACATTTTCACTGAAAGGAGAAAAAAAAAAACCTCCCCCACAGTACTCGCACTTCACCTGTCAGTGAATTTGACTCCCAGCTAGCGCCGCTATATGCTCACCTTCTCTTACCCTTCCTCTCTGTAACAAAAGCAAACCGAAATGCTTTTGTGTGAGTTAATAATGAATGCATGGATGCGGGCTGAAGCGCAGCCCCTGTTCTGGCAGTGTTTTTCAGAGCGAGTCTTCTGTCTTTTTTTTTTCTGTCTGTCATGTTTCTCTGCTTGGATAAACTGAGTCTTTCATTCGTGTGTGTGTGTGTGTGGTGCAGGTTTCTCGGCGTGCCCCCAGGCAGAGGCAGTTGCCCACTCACTGGTCCGCTGCCCTTTGACCTCATCTACACCGACTATCACGGCCTGCAGCAGATGAAGCAACACATGGGACTCTCGCTCAAGAAACACAAGTAAGTGGATGCGCTTTGTGTTGTGTGTGTGTGTGTGTGTGTTTATGTCTTCCCGTCTTCTTGCTGTGTGTGCGCGCAGCTCTACCTGCATAAATTTGAATGCGTGTGTGTGAGTGTGTAGGTGTGTGTCAGCAATTTTCCAGTCAGGCAAGTAGGTTTATTGGCTGTGTTTATGGAATAATTATTGCTGGTAATAAGGTGTACATGTCTCTGTCCAGATGTCTGACTGTAAGTCATTCTGCTTGTTAAAATCACACTCTCATTTTGTTATGCAAACACACACACACACACACACATAGGCAATCTGTCTACCTCTAACCATCCATCCCTATCCAGTTAAAAGACTGTGTCAGATACATACGAGTCTGCATGTTGCGATGTAGTGGAACGCCATCACTCCCTGCTCAGACGTGTCATGACTTTCCAGAGCAATATTAATAGTAATATATAGCACCTGTAGTATGAGATTGGAGGCATATCAGATATTGACGAATCAACATGCACACACACACACACATAAACATCGGTTTGTCCGTGCACCTATTTCCAATCAAACCCTGTTGCAGCTGCTTTTTATTTCAGTTTAACTGCACTCAGAGGCTCCCTGCCATCAGGAGAGAGGTGCTTATACACAAAAAGAAAAAAAAAAAGCTGAAGACATCTGCCACATGAGAAAGAACAAAGATTACGCTGAGATTTTTTTTCTTGTGCTGTTACAAAAGTGTGCTTAATGGCTTTTGGCATTGCTACAAAGATTCCACAACTTGGAAAGTAGGCCATGACAGTCATGAGACCGAGGCAACAAAACAGAAAGTATTACCCAAAACAAGAACCTAAAGTGCCACAGTGCATCTGAAAAAAAAAAGCTTCACATCTCTGAAACCACAACAAACAGATAAGATTGAAACTTCAGCCTTGTCCTCTCCAGCCCCTTAAAAACAGCTTGCAGCCACCACCCCCCCTTCTGCCCCGCTCTCACGTTTCCCGGTCCAATAAATTGGCATGTTTGTCTACCCCCCGTATGTGATGATAGCAATTGACATTTCGCTTTCCTTGTTCTGACTCCCAGCACAAACAAGCGGCGATGATAGATAAAAAGAGACGAGGGCATCATGTGTGAGCGGACGGCCGAGTGAAAGTCAAAAAGAAAAAGGCAGAAGAGATGAAACTTGCAGAAATGAGAGGTGCCACAAAAAAAACGGAGGGAACCGAAATCAGCCTGACACCACATATAAAGGGCCGCTCCATGTATTTTTAAAATCCAATTATGAGCGGGAGAAATGCATTACTGGTGGACTGTGAAGCCATTTTCCCAGCGCACGACCTGTTTTGCTGTCTCTCTCTGTTTCTCCCGATTTGTCTCTCGCACAATCCAGATACTCCACCAGACAGCAGTCAGCACCTAATTGCTTGCTGAGGTCAGCGGTTCATCGGCGAGTCTTGATTTCTGTTTTCCCTAACAGGATGTGACGTGCAGCGTTTTGTAGGAGACGGTCTTTTGTTTGCTGCGGGAGCTCGCCGCCAAAGAATTATCTGTACGTTTCGGTAACGCAGACGGAACAAAGAGCGTCTATCTCGATCCGCTTTTCAAATATGTGAAAAAGGAGATCTTAAATAATTTGGACGCTCGGGGGAACATTTCTTACCGTGCAACAAGCTCGAGAGATTTTTCCTCAGATTTACAGTCCGGGAGGTGATATGAAACACACATTCGTTTTATTGTGGAAAAACCACATGTCTTTTTTTGTCTTTCACCTCTACAGTATTGCCTCGTCGTGCCTCGCTGCTTTATGCATTCATCTTAACCCACCAATTCCACAACCCCCTGGAGGTTGGGAATAGGTCAATGGCATACCTATTCACCTCCCTCTCTCTCTCCCTCTCTCTCTCCATGTCTGGTCTGCTTGAGTCTTGCCTGGCGAAAGAAATCATTAATCAAGTGCTCTGAGCTTTGGGGCCCTTCAGCTCCCTTTAATTACTTTTGTTTTATGTTCCCACCAACGTCCACATTCATTTATTATGCCTGAACAACACGGCTGCTGTCCTGTCCGGTGGGTTGTGTGTGCGCGTGTGCGTGCATGCGAGGGCGTATCGGTGCATGTGTGTCGCTGGTAAAGATGCTGAAAGCTGATAGGAGATAGTCTTAAATCACACGCCCTCATCTGATAATAGGACTGGCATATTGATTTCCTCTGCGTGCTGAGTTTACTGCTCTGATAGAGGCGGATTAGAAGAGATATCCAGAGGAAGGAGGGGAGGGGGGAGGCCTGGAACAACACAAAAACAAAAACCTTACTCAGACTCAAGGAATGCAACAGTGCTTGTACTGTAATGGAGGATAAATAATGGATGGATGAAGGCGTTTTGTGCACATGTCTGCACTTTAAATCTACACCGTGTAACATTTGAATGATGAAAAATTGCCTGTTAACTGTTATGTCTTTCTGTCTAGTGTGCTACTTTACATGACACTTTAAGCTGCATTTGTTAAGTGCAACATGAAATGGTCTGGGCGTTAAACACGCTTTAATATCTAAATAATTTAACGGTTGACTTAAACCACTGGTAATGAAATTCTTAAAGCTATGTTTTTACACAAATGTTATTAAAAAGCTGCAATATATACATTCAGTGATGTGATGCTGTCAAGACTACAGATAGTTTGTTAACAGTATATGCAATGCTGGTGTATTTATACCAAAAATACTAAAGTTAAGTCTTGAGTTTCCAGTAACTCCTATAAAAATGGTAAATGGTCTGCACTTATATAGCGCCTTTTTCTACCCAAGGCGCTTTACAATGTGTTTCGCCCATTCACACCCATTCACACACCAATGGTGACAGAGCTGCCATGCAAGGCGCTAATCTGCCATTGGGAGCAACTTGGGGTTCAGTGTCTTGCCCAAGGACACTTCGGCATGTGTGTGGGGGGGGATCGAACCGCCAACCTTGCCATCAGTGGACAACCTGCTCTACCACCTGAACCGCAGCCGACGTCTTTGTCCAAAAAAAAAACAGAAAAACAATCATTCCTTTTGTTTCATAGATATATAAAAGATTTTTTGAAAGTGTCACAAAACCTGCTGGGTCAAAACCTACATACAGCAACTGGAATGATGGGTTTTGGTGATGTAGAGAGTTCACAAAGATGTAAAATAGCAAATTATTGACTTGGAGTCCATCCATCCATTATCTATACACCGCTTAATCCTCACTAGGGTCGTGGGGGGCTGGAGTCTATCCCAGCTGACTTAGGGTGAAGGCAGGGGACACCCTGGACAGGTCGCCAGTCTATCGCAGGGCTACACTTAGAGACAGACAACCAAGCACACTCACATTCACACCTACGGACAATTTAGAATCACCAATGAACCTCAACATCTGTTTGGACTGTGTGGGAGGAAGCCGGAGAACCCGGAGAGAACCCACGCTGCACGGGGAGAACATGCAAACTCCACGCAGAAGGATTCCGGTGCCCCCACCGGGACGCGAACCGGCGACCTTCTTGCTGCCAGGCAACAGTGCTACCAACTGCACCACCCTGCAGCCCCTGACTTAGAGTCACTTGGAGAAATTTAAAAGCAGCTACGGATCGTAAAATCATCTTTTGTAATAAGTAAGCACAGTTAACACTGTAAATACAATGGACACAGAATATTAATTTTTCTGACACTACATTACATAATAATGAAATAAAATCAATAATCGGAGGCTTAATTTCATGATTCTTGTTATCCACACAAGAAAACAAAACCCGTCTCGCAGAAGAAGGCGTAACAGTGGAATTTCATACATTAAAAATTTAGCGCGATGCTCTTTGATGCATCGTTCGGTTTCACCAGCGCTACAACTGTTTCTCCCTCAACAGTTAAACAAACAGGAGAAACAGAGAGCGAGAGCGAGACTGAGAGACAGAACAGAGGCCTCTGGGTCGACCGCAGTAAACTCGGCACAATCAGCCAATAGGCCCGCAGCGCAATGCTCTCGCTCACGCAGTAAAAGAATATCTTGCATCTCACATTATTGCTGTGTTGGGTGTGGTGTACTGATGTGGGAAAATGTGTGACGAATGGTTTGCTGGCAGCGTGCTGGGTAACAAATCTCTACCCCCTTCTATTTGAACAATCTCTGGACCAGAGGCACAGACTCAGTTGGCAAATTAAAATGCTTTAACACTGGGACTGTGCCACTTTAATCAGGCAATGAGCCAATTGAGAGTTATTGAAAGGTATTTGAAGTGGAGATACGCGTAGATGTGTGTGTGGTTGTGTGCTGCATTGAGAATCTGAAGGGTGGAACTGACCCCGGTATTTTCCCAAACGCAGGTGTCACAGAAACACAAAGAGATACCGGCTCAGATTATCAAAGCTGCACCGGCTTGGTGTCAGCTGTTTTACTGATACTTTGTTATAACGGCCTCATTTATCATCTGTTTGGCTACCAGCTGACTTACTAACGTCCAATTATGTTCAAACAGGTGTACGCAGCGATCACTCAAACCCAACTCGCTCTCTATGACAACGTTTTCTGCTTGTGTGAAACAGCAGCTGAAACAGTGGTATTGTTAACAACATGCAAACAAAGAATTAACAGAGCCACTGTTTTATTAGAGAACATCTTGAGGATGCTGGTTACATCTGTGGCAATGTGTCTGACAGTTCAAGGACTTATTCTTTTGAAAACATGGCTGTGTCCAAAATCATCCACTCACTTCCTACTCCCTACTCATTCTCTAGGGACACTATGTAGTGAACTATGTAGGGAGCACTTGGCAAACTAGCATTTCGGACACTTCTCAAGCCATGGATTTCACGCTCGCTTGCCGCGATTGGTGCCGTAGCAACGTAGTGCAAACACATCACATTTACAGTTTATTGCATTGCTAAGAAACGGGTAAAATAAAGTTTAACATAGCATCCATCCATCCATCCATTATCTATACACCGCTTAATCCTCACTAGGGTCGTGGGGGGCTGGAGTCTATCCCAGCTGACTTAGGGTGAAGGCAGGGGACACCCTGGACAGGTCACCAGTCTATCACAGGGCTACACTTAGAGACAGACAACCAAGCACACTCACATTCACACCTACGGACAATTTAGAATCACCAATTAACCTCAACATGTTTTTGGACCTTGTGGGAGGAAGCTGGAGAACCCGGAGAGAACCCACGCTGCACGGGGAGAACATGCAAACTCCAAGATCCCGGGTGTCCTCACCAGGACGCGAGCCGGCGACCTTCTTGCTGTGAGGCAACGATGCTAACCACCATCCACCTTGCAGCTTAACAAAACATAAACAGGAAATCACTTACATTTTAATGACAAGTTCTCTCACTGTCATTCGTCTAGTTTCCTTTCCCGCAATGCATGATGGTCCATATTGCTTGGTTAGTGACCATCGGATGTACACTACTTTTCATGGTGCATTGTGGGATATTTTCAGTCACGTTTGTAACTTAACATTCAGACAGCAATACAAAATGGTGAACACCCTATATCAGGGGTGTCCAATCCTGTTTTAGATGCTTCCCTCTTCCAACACACATGATTCAAATGATCAGGATCGTTATCAGGCTTCTGCAGAGCTTGATGATGAGCTCTCGAGGACCAGGATTGGGCACCCCTGCCCTGTATAGTGCACTATGTAGGGTATAGTGGGTGATTTCGTCACAGCTGATGAAATCACTTTTGTTTGATTAACTTTGAATTTCAGATAATTATCAATTAAGTGGGCTGCAAGGTGGCTCGGTGGTTAACACCGTTGCCTCCCAGCCAGAAGGTCACTGGTTCAGTGAGGACACCCAGGATCTTTCTGCGTGGAGTTTGCATGTTCTCCCCATACAGCGTGGGTTCTCTCTAAGTCGGGTGGTATAGACTCCAGCCCCCCATGACCCTAGTGAGGATTAAGCGGTGTATAGATAGTGGATGGATGGATCAAGTTAAGTGCATCTATGTTTTACAGGTTAAAATGATTCATTCTGAGTTAGACGTTATTAAATGAATGGTTATATTTGTTTCTGAGGCGTTCAGTGCTCAAATTTAAAGTCCACGCTGTTGTTCGCTGCAATTTTTTGAACTCCTGAAATTTACATGTCAAGGCTGCGGGTTACAGTGTGCCGCCCTGCCACATTCAACCCTCACCCCCCGGAAGACTGTTGAGCCTCGCTGAGCAGCCGTTTAACCCAGATTAGCCCCACGCTCTGATCTCCCGATAGATATTCAGCTCAGCTACTCCTCCGCTTATCCCCTCTTCTTCCACTTTTTCCTCCTCCCTTCGGGACCTCTTATCTGGTGGCAGAAACATTTTCACCGTTTCTGAGCTGGTGATATGTGATAGCGCACGTTGGAGAGAGGAAGGGAGGAAGGAAGACCAGCGTAGAGACAAGTGGAAGCAACAGTTTTGTTTTTTTTTATTATTATTAATAATTCATCGCTGGCTTTCTGTGACCCTTACAGAGAGACGCATGGCGTTTGGTGCAGAATTTCATCCTCTGTGCTCCCGAATAAACACTGATAAGTGTCAAACAAGACTGAGGTGTCACCTTGTCTCAAACAAGAATAAAGCGTCCGCAGGGGGATTATGATTTTTATTCTCTCAGCATTCATGAGGTTTTAAAAGACAAACACACACTTTTCTAACTTGTTTGTTTCACGTTATGACACTAAGTCAGCACTGCCGCCATTAATTATTCCATTAATTAACAATCGCTGGAGAAGATCAAACCCTTCATCACTGTTAAGCTTGCATTGCTTCAGTGAGGAGATAAGTTACCCCAAAAAAGTTTATTCAAATCTCAAAAAAGAAAGGATGGTAGCTCACCGTTTACAACAATGTTTAACAAGTTTACAGGCAGAAACCCATCACAGGAGAGACAAGGAAACCAACTGTGAGCAGCTAAGCCACAACAAAACATGTTTATTGGAGTGAGGAACATGATCGCAAATGTCGTTTGATAAGAAAACTGTCAGTGGGGTTGCCAAGACGTGAAAGGTGAAGAATGGTCATACGAAGAAGGGCGGTGTCTGCAGGTGACAGGTTTACAGCTCCACGTTTCTGAATAATGAGTCTGGAAACGTCCCAAACAAGAAATATGGGCCACAGTAATAAAAGAATAATGCACTGATTGGATTGTGATGTCTAATCATGTGTTGGCATGTGAAGATAGTCACCTGTGTCGAGTTCATGAAGCCTGGAAACAGTTTGTGACTCTGTTAAATAAGACACGATAGCCTTGAAGTGCTCTTCAGATCAGCACAATGTTTTTTTATTGGACTGACTCTTCCTCTTTAACACACACACACACTCACACACACACACACACAGTTTTCTGCCAAGAAAGAGTCTCAGTGCTGAGGAAGTGGACTTTGCCCCGTTTAGCTTCTGCTAATCCCCCTGAGCTCACAGACTGGCCAGATTGAACACAGTGACTGGTACAGACAAGGGCATAGTGAGCTGTGTGTGTGTGTGTGTGTGTGTGCGTGTGTGTGTGTGTGTGTGTGTGTGTGTGTGTGTGTGCGCTTGTATTAAAGAGCATGTGCATGTGCGTGCCTGAATGATTCTGAACCTCAGTTGTGCTTCAGTGCTCTGCTTTAAAGCGTTCACCTGGAAACGCTATCAGCAGCCTATTGCAGCTCCAACCTCTCCACATCAAAGTGTTTATATATTTATTTTTTTTTTTTTGTCATTCTCAAGTGAAACCTCCTACACTGCTGGTTGTTGTTGGTTGTTTGAATGCTTCTCTGTGTTTTTTTTCTTAATTTATTTTTCAGTTTTGCAAGTCTGTCTGTCTGTAACATATGTATTGTATAACTTTTAGGAATTCCCGCTTGTTTTGCACTAATTTGAAGTTGTATAATAATAAAATAATATCATTATATGGTGTGTTAGCATGAAGTACAGTCTACCCATGTCTTTAGTTTTTTATTCAGCCTATCTAATCAGTTCATCTAAATGTCTAGATTTATCATTGTTACCATTCTATGCTGTTAAGCTTCTCATGAAAGGAGGGAAACAGAATGATTTCCTAACATGAAGACTCACTTTAGATTCAATTTGTTCCCACAATCAGAGTAAATATAGCACATGTGACAAGCCCACAGGTACAGCCTGAAAGTGAGGAAGAATTAATAATGCTGTGATGCAGCTTCAGGAACATTTCAGATTTTTCTGTCATGTTACTGATAAAATTACTGTTACAAGGAACTGTGGTAATTAACAGCCTTCATACAAAATGACAAAGTGATGATGTGAGGACTCTTTGTGTTACCCGCTATCAACAGCTCTGGTGGCATTTATAAGCAATACATAAACACCTAACTAGCACAGTACATGCAAGAATTTATAGGGACAATAAAAATTTAAGTGCCTTAAATGAAGCATCCATAACCGACGTATTAGCAGCTCCTGGCTGCCCAGTAACACTGTGTGATGTCGCTGTAATTATATGTTCATGCTCAACCAGCCGATCCTTCACGGCGCGTCGTCTTATAAACATATAAAAGTGGTTTTGTTGCACCTTTTACAGATGTCACATCCGAGTGATCGACACGTTTGGGACGGAGCCGGCTTACAATCACGAGGAGTACGCCACCCTGCACGGCTACCGGACCAACTGGGGCTACTGGAACCTGAACGCCAGACAGTACATGACCATGTTCCGTAAGAGCGCGTTCACTTCCTTACCTTTCATTCACTCACTTTGATCGTAGATTGTAAATGCTTCCAGTATAACTGCAGGATTCAGCATGTCGACTTGCACTTCATATGTAGAACGCTTGATCAGATCAAGTATGCACACACACACACACACACACACACACACACACACACACATTCAGACCTGTCATCGGTTGACAGTCTAAATACGATGAAATGACTCCAGTGTTTTCGCTTTCTCTGACAGGTCTGGCTGCTTGTTCACATTAATTTGGAGCAATGTGTTTAACGCAGCTATTTTCAGCAGCAGCGCCGCTCCCAGCATCCCCTTCAAGTTGTATCCGCGCTTCATCTCCTCTGTTCTTCTTCCTCTTCTGTTACATGCTACACAATATGTCTGATCTGCGTTTTTCAAAGCCCTCGTCGCCGTGTGTCTCTTCCCTCTCCTGACTGCTTAACTCTCCTCTGCTCTCACAATCAGCTCTCGACAGTGTGTAGCTGGCACTCGGCAGCGGGATCATTATGTCGTCGATATGTGGCCTACTGTATATACGCCCACGTTTCACACTGTCCACAGCTGTAATGACAGACTCAACCTTTATTAACTGCTCCATGCTGGTGAGAGAGCAACAGGAGCTGCCGTTTATTCAATGCGGGATAATGAACAATGTAAAAACAAAAAAATAGGCTGTAGCTGTGAGGATACAGTTAATAGCTATGAAATCATTACCGCACCTGGTTTCTATCATGTAAAATATAACAACATGCAAGACTTCTATAGCGACCGACTTTATCTGTTTACAATACTTAAAGAGGCGATAATCACACTGTCTGAGTCACTGAGCTCTGCTTTTCTTTCTTCTAGCCTCTTCACTAACACTAAATCTGTCCCTTTCTTTTCTTCTCCCTTTTGTGTTTTTGTGTTTTCCCTCCACTCACCACTACTTTTTCTTTGCCGCTCACACACACACACACACACTCGTGCGCATTCAGCTCACACCCCAGACAACTCATTCATGGGCTTTGTTTCGGAGGAGCTGAATGAAACCGAGAAGAGGAGCATCCAGCAGAACAAAGTCAACAACATGGCTGTGGTGTACGGGAAAGAGGCCAGCATGTGGAAGGTACAGACAGCGATTCACACACACACACACACACATGAAATAACATTCAGCTGATGCTACAGATCCCGTGTTTGTACAAAAGCTTGCTTTGGCAGGGGTTGCTTGCTCTCTACAATAATGGAAAACTGAAAGCGTTCTTCGTAAGTCTCTGTTACAGTTAATCTTTCATGTAGTGCTGCTCTTGAATGTTCCCATTAAAGAACAATAAAAGGATTTCCTGGAAGACAACAAAGTTCATAAAGCTAACACACACATGTATAGTCAGGTAAACAAGCACATGTTTATGCGCATGTGTTTGTATGTATACAGGATACAACCCTGCAAATGCATACATGAACTGCCTGGATTCACATGTTTCCACCTGCTTTCAACTCCTAGAGACAAGCATTTTATTTATTTCTCTTTCACCAGAGAGACCTGGCCAACGTAGCAGCCAATCACAACACATTAAGATGCTACAAATACAAATAAAACAACAAGAACAACTATTAGAACATAGTGGACCTCTCAAGAAAAACAATCACATCTCTGTCACCACAATCTTTATGATGCCCTTAAATTTATTAGTTAATATGAATGTTTCTAATCTAAGATCTTTCTGCAGATTATTCCAAGCCCATGGGGTACAGTAGGAAAATGCTGTTTTCTCCAAATCAGTTAAAACCACGCTGGAAAGTTAACACCTGGAGGAGCGTAGCTGGTAACTAACATAGCATAGCAGACAAAACCAACAACTAAAAGTCAGGATGTGTTCTTTCTTTGAATTCATCAGTGACCCCTGATGTAGATGTCAGAAAACTGGAAAACCCAGATCTGATCAGCATTTGGTGAAGCCACCAAACAGCACCAGTTCTGTAGATGAACTTGTAGACATTTTTTCAAGGTATTTTTAGGAAGGTTGTTCCGATTATCTTGGAGAACTTGTCACATTTCTTCAGTGGAGATTCACAAGTAGCGTTCTCAGGGCTTCAAATTATCATCCCGCTTTGGGACTGTTTCCTTAATTTTGCTCCTGCCCGCTTCCCCTGGATGTCCGAGCGTGCAAAATAGAGCGTCTGCTCCCGCCCACGCCCGTAAACACTCTGACCACTTACCCTTACACGCTGTAGAGTTCCATTGATTTTGTGTCTTTTCCTGACCTGCAGGGAAAACAGGAAGTAATTACATAGTGAAACTAGAGTTACTGGAATTACAGTAATTGTAGAGCAGTAGGTACACATTGAATACATTTGCTGATAGTAGTTTGTTTAAGGAAGAAGTGTTTTTAGTTAACAAGAGTTTACAGTGACCAAGGAAACCTGAGCATCAACCCAAAGGTGCCACATCTTTGCCTAACAATCTTTTGCACATTTGTCGTAACAAATTCTTTCCCGTCTTTGTGAGTAACAGCTAGGATTTTGGTCCAAATTGCACTCATCCCTTGCTTTGCTTTTTCACTGTAAACACTCACTTTGATCGTGGCACTAAATCCAGGAACCTGCAGTTTATTTTTTCCATCAACATTCAGCAAAAACCGTCTGAACCAATAATAAATCGACTTGGTTCTGGTGGAACTAAGAGAGGCAACATGTGCACATAAGCATATTGTTTTTTGTTTGTTTGTTTAGATAATTTGGCAAGCTAGTTGTGGAATTGTAATATCTGGCACTCCAGTTTATAGGGGTCATGTTTGCAAATTGTAAAATGATTCCAGACTGCAGACGCTTGACGTTTTCAGCATCTAGCTGTCATAGTTATATATATAACCTGTAAGCCAGTCATGTGCTACTGCCTCAGTAGCATTAGATGAGCGATGTGATGCCCTAAGATTAAATGTCCTCATCTAAAAATAAGTACTGATAATGAATGTTTAATCAATACTATTGAATTACTGTTTCTCATTTCCTTCGCTGATTTGAACGTCAATTACCATGGTAACGATCAAAGCTTCAAAGTATTGGGGTCAGCGCTGTTCTGTAATCCCAGACTGAAGGGACGCTGAGGGGGTCAGACTATGAGTTACAGGATTCCCAATCAGATCAGATGCCTCCCTGATGCTCTAAAGGGGCCTAAAGCACTATCACAGCACTGTGTAGGGAAAAGGTTTCACGACAGGGTGTGTTTGTTTTCGTGCTGATGTATGCAGACACACACACACACATGCGTCCAATACATAAGACCATATACAGCATTTTTCACACCCCGCTATTTGCACCATTACAGTTCAGCTTCATGTATATATTCACATAACTTTACAGCTTTAATTTACCGGCAATTTTCCTCTCAAAAGCGGCCTGCTTGTTCATCTGCATAATGTGGGGAGGCACAGTAGCAGTGCCTTCATTGTTACGATGATTATAAAGATGTTTTCGCTGCCATTGCTTTCTACTGTCTGTCTGCACAATTCCCCGGATGCCTTTAGAGTTGCTGCTTATGAAATAGACAAGCTCAAAAGAGCGATGAGGGGTCATGAAAGAACAATAATGTGAAAAACGCTCGGTGAAAAGGGCAGAAAATGCCATGTGTAATTTTTTTGCCTCCTCTTTCTTTTTTTTTATTTTTTTTTCATGTGTAATTTTTTTGCCTCCTCTTTCTTTTTTTTTTTTGTTTCACCCATTGTTGAAATGTTGTTTAGTTACTTTTCTCTTTCTGTCTCTCTCTTTTTCTTTTGTGTGCGGACCGTTATTATCTCTGGCTGGATGCTCATTAGCTTCAGGTAAGAGCCTGTTACTTTCCCCAAATATTCCTGTTATGTCCATCTCACAGTTTATGCATATCTGAGCTGATTAGGGTGCACACCACATGGGTGAAAATGCCCCTCGCTGCCAACTCCCTGGTTTGACTTCTGGCTGGATGAACATTGGCTGCATGTCTTTCTCCTGTTTCCACATTTTCTGTCTCTCTACTGCAACGATCTAATAAAAGACAAAATGCCCAAAAAATTAAAAATAAAGTCCTAAAAAATATACAAATGCAGCAAATGACCCAAAACATTTTTTATGACGCTGTACTTGCCACAGATTCACAAGAACACAAGAACACAGTCATCACTTTTCAGAGAGCTGATGTATAGAAATGTTTATGGGCTGGCTAGGAGTCCTGTGTTGTTGTTCTTGTGATGTTTGGTGACATTAAAGGTTTCATATAGAGCCAGCTGCAGTAAATGAATGAAAGTCCCCAGAAAGCATCTTGCAGTAGTTTAGTTAGTTAATTTAACCATGACTCTATAACACTTGATTTCTTCTTTTGGGCTGCTTCAGTGTGTGTAGCTGTAAAAGCAACAGGAAGAAAGCTCGCCCTGCATCTTGACAGCTTAACGTAAAACCGTTGACCGAACGGCTGTGAACGAGTGACTTTTAATCGCTCTCTATGTGATCATTTTACATGAAATCACAGTGCAGCGGTTATTTTTAACCGAGCGTACAGTGAGTTTGTCGATCAACACTGTAATTATGAAATCAGTGGTTTAGCGACAACAACAGCAAACATATGTGAACACTGACTGAATTTACTGTAGATGGCACTGAAACACAACAGGCAACATGAAAACACAGTGACACACCCAGTCCTTGTTTACTGGTTCTCAGATTGGTCCTAAAGATTCCAGTCTCTTTGAAAAAAATTTCTAAAAAACCTGGTGGCGTGTAACGCAGCTGCCTTTTCTGAATGGCTCACCTGGAAGCAGTGAGCAGACAGGATTATGTCAAGTATGAACAAGATGACGTTTGGTTTAAGTTGTAGCACTTGGGTCAAAATCTTACTGACTTGTGAAGCTGGGAGCCTATCAAGTTGTGAGGGGGGGTTAAAGAAACTCAAAAGGGAAGCATTATTATGTCTGACCAAGATTTATAATCCATCCATTATCTATACACCACTTAATCCTCACTGGGTGGCGGGGGGCTGGAGTCTATCCCAGCTGACTTAGTGCGAAGGCAGGCTACACCCTGGACGAGTCGCCAATCTATAAAAAACACCTATTCACAACTACAATAGCATTTTCTCATGATGTGCCGGTCAGTCTTGGATGATATCAGATGTAAGGAAAGAACTCTGTCAGTGGATTTAAGAAAGTTTTTACACCTAAACAACTTTAGAAAAATGTACATAAGACAGCATCAACAAACACATTCATGAGATCTAAGTCATACAGTCGAACATGAAATATTCAAGCCAAGCAAACAAAAGAGTTCTGTTTCTAACAATACCACTAGCTGTGTAATACAATACAAGAAAGAGTAACTATGGTTACGGCTGAGTAGTCGTGCTTTCTTTTGGTTTCTCTTGGCATGCCATGCAAGCAGAAATCAACATGTTAATTTACTCCGAGCCCCCTTTTTAGATCTGTATTGCAAGAAATGAGGTGAGGGACAAAAGGCAGCGCAGCAGAACGTACTTATTACCACTCCTAATCCAATGCACGTTCAGAGAGTGAACTTGGACACACACACACACACACACACACACACACACGGAGGAGAATCGCAAGAGCAAGTTATGGAATCTTCCTCGCCTGTGTTTCTCCTGCTAATTCATTGTCGTCGTCTGCCGCACTTAGCGCTTGAGCTAATCTCCTAATTGGCTGGGAAAATCCTCACAGAAGGAAGCTATCGATTGCTACAGTCTCCAATTACGGCTCTGTGGGGGGGCCCCAGCAGAGGAGGATACAGTAAGCTACTTAACACCGGCCGGCCGGTCAATACTCGGGTCGGGGTTTCGCTCCATTCGCATGATTAAGTTTTGGTTGTTAACCGATGCTGGTCGGTTGTTGTTCTCCCAGCCATCACGCCCGGCCTTGGCTTATAATCTTTGGGAAAGTAAAGAGAGATGTATATGAGGAAGTGCAAATAATGCCTTGTCGCCTATCATCCCCCCACACAATCCCCAGTGCAGTCATTCTGTGAAATGAGATCCCTACTTGAGCCTAGTTTTATTTCTAATGCTTCTGTAAAGATGCACAAGTTCATCATTTGGTTGTAATTTGTGCAGTTAATGTACTAAAAATGGGAATATTTACAGTAACATTTACAGATTTAAATATTATTGCAGATTAGGCAATTAAATAATGTTAGCCTTTTAACTTTAAGAGAATTGTATTTACAGTTATCTCAGTCTTTCATGATTCTGATTGGTTGTGGTGAGCGCTTGAGATGAGGAAGGTGCGTTCTTGTTGAGAAGCTGGATAGTAAAAGTGCAGTGCTGCTAAAGTGCTAAAGTGATCCCTCTCTGTCGTGCTGTTTCTCTTCAGCAAAGTGATCCAAATGGCACACTTCAAACCCACATGCTTCTTGTAGTAACCAGCCTGTTGATTTCAAGGCTGGATGATGTTCTTTTATTTTCAATACTAAAACCAGCTCAGGGTAGGTTGTAATTTTGAAGGGCGAGGGACCTGAAAGTGTGCTAATGTGACACTAATTGTTTTCACATACAAAAGGTGCTTTGAGGATGCATGTATGACAAAAAAAGGTGTTGAGGGAGAATGACATGCCAGCTAAACTCATAGAAAGCTGACACAAAGACAAGAAACAAAGATTTTCAAATTCTTATTCTCTGACACGCTCTTTTTTTCATCCACCCTTCTGTCTTCTCTCCGTCTTTGTCCCCTCTTCCAGCAGGGTAAGGAGGGTTTCCTGCAGATTCTCCACAGGTACATGGAAGTCCACGGCACAGTGTACTATGAGACCCAGAGACCTCCGGAGGTCCCTGCCTTTGTGAAGAACCACGGCCTGCTGCCCCAACATGAGCTCCAGCAGCTGCTGCGTAAAGCCAAGGCAAGAGACTGATGAAGACATTAACTGCACAGCTGTTGTCCTTCACACAGGGTCTTCATGTGCAGCTTGAAGTCATTCCTTCTCACAGACTTACACTCTCTACTCCTGAAATGTCTACAGAAACTAATATTGGCACACATGCCATACTGCTGTAGCTGAGCTCCAACCAGGCTGATGTTAACTCCCTTGATTTCCCTTTTTTTCCAGCTCTTCATTGGTTTCGGTTTCCCCTACGAAGGCCCGGCTCCTCTTGAAGCAATCGCTAATGGTTGCATTTTCCTGCAGCCCAAGTTCCACCCGCCTCACAGCTCGTTAAATCACGAGTTTTTCAGAGGCAAGCCCACGTCCAGAGAAGTAAGTTCATCATGTTTATTTCTTCCCACCATCAGTCAGTGATTAGAACGTTTTGGCCATGCTGCCACTGGCGTTAGAGTAATTATCTGAGTAGGTAGGAGGATATCGATTATAATACGTATTTTGGTTTGTAATAAATACGTAAGCGAGCTTGAGGGGAAAACGTTCACATGTAATAATAGTGAATAATAAACAAGTCCTAATCTATTGATTGTATAGCTTAAAATATAATCATTTTTTCTTACTTTATTATTTCCTACATGTTGCATATTCATGTATAATGACAATTTATCTAAAGCACAGCGACTTGTGATATCATAAAATGTTTATTCACTATTTATAGGCTATCTGTCTCCATGTTTTGGTGGTTACTTTACCAGAAAAATCGAATAATTTAACAGATCAGACTTCTTACAAACAGAAAAATAAAAATGTCCCGACAGCTGCGATGAAGCTCAAGACTGAATCTAAGGACAAAGCATGAAACTGTTATTCACTGATTCTGATCGATCCTCGCTAATTAATGTAGTCACTGCTTACACAAAACACTCATGGATCACTTTGCTGCAGGTATTTATTAAACTCAGAGGAAAGATTCCCACAAACAGCTGGAAGCAATAAACTAAACTTGTTTATTCTTGTTAACTTTTTGTCAAAACCCAGATTACATGTATTTCTGGTGAGTTTCATTAATCAAACCTGGTCTAGACTGTGGTTTTACTGCGGCAAAGTTCTGTTTTTATGGACGTTTCAATGTGGAATCGATGAGTAAAGTGAACGAGGGAAACCTGAACACACATGTCAGGCGTTTTCTGATTCTTGAGAGGTTTGCTCTTAACTTGTACCCTATGTTATCTTTTCATGAGAGAGGAGCTTTGAGGCCTCCTTATAGGCTATCGGATGTGAGATTTGTTTGAGCAGCATGAGAGCGTGAGATATAGACTGAAAGCAGGCGTCTCTCACCGAAAGCGTGGGAATTGGCTGCCCTGCCTTAGAGCTCTCACTGTAAGTCCCGCCTGTGTTTTCTGTAGGTATTCTCCCAGCACCCGTATGCAGAGCAGTACATCGGCAGACCTCATGTCATGACAGTGGACTACAACAACTCCCTGGAGTTCGACTCTGCTATCAGGGAAATCATGAGGACGAAGGTACGCACACATTAAAAGACAAAGTTGTTTGGGGGCGGGCACCATGAAAAGAAGAAGTGTTTTACCATTTCCTATCAGATGGATATGTGAGCATATAGACATAGAAAATCCTTCATCTGGCTCATACTAGTTAAGATTTTATTATACCTTTTTCATTTGCAAAATATACAAACAGAAAAACAAAAAAATGCAAAGTGAGTTCAGGGCCAGGATGAACCGAACATCTGCACAGTCACGAAAAACGCTCTGTTCTCATTAAAATGGACGACCCGTGTGCCAGGCAGGCGGAATTTGTGCGCTCTAAAGTAACCGAGTATGAAGCATTTATATCTCAACTTGAGCAGCGTTACAAAAGTTAAAACGGTATCTCTGTAGAAAACAAAGTCGCAGGTGCATCAAGTTCATGACACTCGGCGAGATGAAGCAGTGCATCACCACCGTTGTGCGCTCAGCATAGAAAGTACTGTCTCAGCCAGTATTCCAGTACAGGAAAAAAAAAAACTGTCTTTTCTTGAAACAGTACCACGGTTGTCAATAATACATCCAGCCTGCATTATTTAAGTTATTTTTAGAGCTATGAAGTGATGCGTTTGATGGCGCTTAATGCAGCCGCTGCTGTCGTCAAATGTCAACACGAGTCACACATATAGCTATTCCGTGTGTTGTATGTTGTGTTTCATAATAAATTCAAGGCTCGAGCAAAAGCGTCGATCTCAGATTCATAAAGGGAACCGGATGGATGGCGCGCAACAGGAAGACAGCTGTCTGCGAGATCCTTCAGACGTTCTGTAATAATTTGTGCCTTCCAGCAGATTAGAGGTATCGTGTATGGAGATTAGACAAAAAGGTGATATCGTTTGTGTGTGAGCGTAGGTGTGTGTGTGTGTTTTCATCTCATCGTCTCGTCTGCGTTGTCAGACAAGCTACAGTTCAGCAACACTGGCTGACTGCGCTGTCTCCATCTGCGCTGACAGACCACTGAGAAAGAGCTGATGGACCACTTCACCCTTCACTGGAGGCACAATGCCCCAGCAAGCGCACACACACACACACCTACACACACACACACCTACACACAGAGGCAGATTATATTCTTGTGCTTACACTCATCCAAGCACACACACACAGACACAACCGAGACACTGAAATTGTACAGATCTGGAATATCGGCCTCACCTGCGCATTACAGCTATTAACGTCAAGTCGTGCACACACACTCGCCCACTGTGTGTGTGTGTGTGTGGCAGAGGATCATGCTCAGTCATGCAGGACAAAGCAATCTCTGGCTGGCTGACAAGTCCCCATGTTCCAATAAATCCTTTCTCCATCTTTTTGCCTTTCTTTCGTTCATTCATCCCTCCTCTCTTTGTCCCTCCTCTTTCTGTCGTTAATTCATTCTCCCTCCTCCTACACAAAAATTTGCAATTAAATGTCCCTTTACGCTTGTTAAAAAAAAAAAAGTGCTGCGGTGCCAAGTTAGAGTTCATCGCACCGTGATCGCTGGAAATCCTGGGTTGAGGTTGATTGGATGGTGCGGCGAAGGTAAATGCAGCAACAGCTAATGAGCTCGGGGCTATTTGTGTAACCGCCAACAAACTGAGAAAGGTAGCGTCTGAGCTTCTATCCAGTCATGTTAATGCATTTTCCAAATGTGCATCACATTTGAGTGGAGTCCAAATCAGCCAGAGATAGCAGGAGGACAGAGGAGTTAAATAGAGGAGATGAATAATGTTCACAGGGGAGAAGCTGTTAGCCTCCGTCAGGGGGAGGGAGAGGAAGAATGCAACCATTGAGAATAAAGAGTAAAGTTTAAAGAAAGAGAGTGAAAGTCTGTTTATGTGAGAGAGCGCCGTATAACCTTAGCGCCACTGGAATGGCAGTTTTATTAGTGTGAGGCAGAACAAATTGCTGTTTTCTGTTCTTGAGATTGACAGCTATCAGTGAGCATTTATCTTTTAAAATGATTAGATTAGATAGAGTCTAGTTCGCTTCAATCTGCCACTTCACTCACAGGACTCCCTTTGAGATCCACTTTTAACCACGGAGGTCATTCTCTGGCCACAGGTTGCTGCCACCGTTGCCGGCAGCGTTTCGAAATCCCCACTCAAAGCTGCTCCCATGAAGACAAGAGCTCTAAGTCACTGTGCCTCGTTAAGTAAAGCCAGATGAGGACACTGACAGAGAGAAGAATTAAGTAGATTGTTTTTTTGGTTTTTTTTGCAGAAAGCTGGTGTGTCTGTCCCTCCTGTCCAAATGTTTACTTTCTTGCTGCAGCTTACAGAGTAGATTAACATAAGGCTTTGATCAGATTTGCAGCGTGTGTAACTTTTTAAATTGCATCATCCCTGCACACTTGCTTCGCAGTGGTTTTCACTCGAAAAATGGGCCAAGTCTGATTTCACACATGGTTGAACATTAGACTGCTTTGATTTCGGATTGGAAATGCAATTTAGCGAGTCGTGTATCATTTACGAAGGCAGGTCTTGCGTTAAGGCATAAAGACAAGCAACTTTGATCTGTCTGACGTCTGATCTTTACTGTTGAAAGTGTGTAACAGTGTTTCCCTTGTTACATTTTGCGACGTCTTTTAAAGGCCGAGTGTGTAGGATTTAGAGGGACCTATTAGAATCCATCCATCCATCCATCCATTATCTATACACCACTTAATCCTCACTAGGGTCGCGGGGGCACTGGAGTCTATCTAAGCTGACTCAGGGTGAAGGCAGGGGACACCCTGGACAGGTCACCAGTCTATCACAGGGCTATTACAATCTGTTATGCAATATACTATTCAGAAAGATGTTCTTTAGTGTGTAGACATGTGGAATTTAGAATTGTTGTGTTTTTGTTTTCTTAAAATGTGCCTTCATATCTACAGAGCAATGTTGCACTGCCATGTTTCTACAGTGGTGGACAAACCAAGCAGTGGCTTCACAGAGAGCCTTTCATATTTTT